GGGCCGTCTGCCCCGAACGCCCTCCCCACCCTCTGTGCACGTGGGGAGCGTGGTCTCCCCAAAGTAGCCTCTGCGAAGAAGTCCTGATGCCCCACCCTCCATCCCCACCCTCCTTCACAACAACAGCCCCTGTGGACCAGTCACTGCACACGGGGCTCCCGGCTAAGCTCTTCACACACATTGTGGCACTGCATCCTTAGGAAACCGTATGGAAATTGGTATTATTAATGCCATCTTATTGTTGGAGAAATGAAGGCCCAAGGAGGAGCGTGGCCTGCCTGGGTCCCATGACGGGCTGGTAGAGGCCCTGGGACTAGAACCAGTGCCCATCGGTGCGGAACAAGCCTCCAGTTGCTGGGCCTGCAGCTGGGGCCTGACCGCGGCCTCCCACAGCCCTGCCAGCTTGGCCTCCTGGGCGCAGCCCTGCCTAGGAGCACATGCGCTGCCTCCGCCCCAAGGCCCTGCACGGAGGTGGGCTCTGGTTGACCCAGGGATTGTGAGCTGAACGGGGCACTGGGCCAGGCTCAGCATCCCCAGCAGCTGCCCCTGAGCTCCCTGGATCTCCCTCCCACCCCCTCCACAGCCTGGGCCATGGGACGCGTGGCCGGGGCAGGTGTGGGCCCGCAGCTCAGCCTCAGCCAGCTCAAGCTTTAGCGGTGACTGCCCTAGTTTCTTATTGGGGGAAAAAAGCACTTTTCATATTTAAATGGCTTGGCCAATGGGCTTAGGGAGGCACTGGAGCGGCTTCAGGGGGTGTGTAGGCCGAGTGAGGCCTGGAGTTGGCTGGTGCCAGGATAGGGCCCTTTTAGAGATCATCCAGCCTCATCTTGCCAAGGCCCAGAAAGGGATAGTGACTTATGAAAGCTCACACAGCGAGGAAGCAGAACCCACCCTCCTGACTCGCAGTCTGGTGCTTCCTCCCTCCCTCCCCACCTTTCCCCTCCACGCGGTCCCCTCCCCTGATACCTCAGAGGTGGAGGGATACATATTATGGGATTCTGTAAGAGCACTATGACTCCCAGGTGCCCCATCCATGTGGACAAAGTCAAGAACCATCTAATCCAGTCCCTCCTCCTGCTTTGTGCAAGTAGGGAAACTGAGGCCCAGAGACACCGAGGGACTTCCCAGGTCGCACAGCAGGCTCCTCACAGAGCTGACAGCCAGAACTTGCATTCCATGAACTTGCACAACCCAACTGAGTCGTCCTGGTTGGTAGGGTGGAGGCGACGCAGCTGATCCTGTGCTTTTTAAACCGTAGGCAGCCACCCGGCTCTCCCCAGCTCTGCAATTAATAACCAGGATTTGACTTTGCCTGTTCCCAGCTCTCTAGCCTGCCGCCTAGTGGTCACATTGAAAGTTGCGGGCTATTGTTGAATGAGTCCCAGGACAGAAATCGCTGGAAAGATAAATGGGAGGATTTGGCATCTTTCAGGGAAACATCTACCAAAAAAGGAGGCAACTAAGCAAACCTCACTAGGAGGCACTTCCGAGAGCCTGTGCTCCCCTCCATGCCCCTCCTTCCCTGGTGACTCCCGGTAGAGGCCGTGGCCCCTGGGAACAGGGCTGCCCCTCCTGGAAATGAGCCGCTGGACCCACGGACCTGCTCCAGCAGGTGAGGCTCCTGTTAACTGAGTTGCTCGTGAAAATGAATGTGTCTCCAGGTCCCTTTCCAGGGGCCACTGGGCGGTTTCTGAGTTGGAGGACCGGGGCACTGGTTATATTTCGGATCCCAAGGCCCAAGGGGACAGCTCCTCTGGCCCAGGCCCAGAGCGCTGAGCGGGAATCGGGAAATGGGCACTCCCGAACCCAAGCCCAGGCCTCCTGCCGGCGCCCATTGGCAGGAAGGAGGCACCCCCAAGGAAAGACCCCGACTCCTCTCGGGGCACCCAGCCTCCCACACTGGAGCCTCCACGAGCACAGGCGCATCCCTGGCCCTCTCCAGAGGGCGGCCAGGCGCCCAGGGCTGCGCGGGGCCCTCCCTAGCCAGCAGCTGCCTACTGAGCTCCTCGCGCAGCGCAGCGGGTCCAGGAGAGAGGGGGTGGGGGACACGTGCACATACCCTTCACGCGTGCACACACACCCCCATGCGTGCAAACACCCCACATGTACACACACACCCTCGCGTGCAATACCCCGCATGTGCACACACACCCCACACATACACACACACCCTCACGCGTGCACATACCCCACGTGTGCACGCACATCCCACACGCGCATGCACACCCTCACGCGTGCACACACACCCCACATGCACAGCCCACAAGTGCACGCACACCCTCACATGTGCACGCACACCCCACGCGTGCACACACATGTACATGCACATGTTCTCCTGAGGGCACAGACACCCTCGAACCCATAGGTACCAACACACGGATTTACAGAACCCCCACCCCCACCCCGAGAGAGGCCACATTCTGTGTGGCTGCCCTGTCCCCCTTCCTTTCTAAACCTTCTCAAATATCCTGTCACATGGCTGTTCCCACACTCATCAGATCCCAAGACCTTATGAAGGTTCAGAAAGCAGGATCGAGTACGAATGCCCAGGGGGGACCCGGGCACGCACACACATGCCCCTAGAAAGGGGACCCGGCCTGTGGGCTCCACGGCCAGAGATATGACAGTAGCCACATGGTGGCTGCCTCCTGAGGGCAGCCCTTGCCTTCCCCTGGGACAGAACCAGGGAGCAGCGAGAGTGGGCCCAGGGAGAGGTGGCCCCGCCTGTGCCCCTCCCCGTGAGGGTGCTTCCTCTGTGACCCTCTAGGCAGGGACTGGGCATTCTGTCCATCTGCCCCTCATCGGCCTGCCCAGCTGGCCATCACTCGCTGACGTCACCACAGCAGTCCTGTCCAGATTGCCCCACCGTCTCCTCGCTCCTGCCAGGCGTTTCCAACATACTCCCTCATCTGGTTAATGCCATGCCCTGCTGGGTCTCGACTCAGACATCGCCTCTCACCACCAGGCCCTCCCCCAGCCCCACGCACCCCCCTCTGCCTGGGCACCTCTCTGTCTGAGCACCCACAGCCCTGTGGCCCTGGCACAGGACAGCCGCTTGATACACTTGCCCAGTGTATCCACTTAACACATGTTTATCAAGCACCTTCAACATACCAGGCACAGTCCTGGGTGCTGAGTGAATGCAGCCCACCGTGTGGCCAGGTTCCCAGGGAAGGGTCGGGGCATAGGGGAGAAGAACACACACTGCTGGGGAACGCGTGCTGGTTAGAAACTCAGGCTCCGGTTTAGTCCTGCCATTGACCTGCTGTGTGACCTTGGGCTAGTCGTGGCCCTCTCTGAGCCTCATTGTCCTCATTTGTTAAACAGGGTAGAGATGGTTTTGAACTAGGTGATGTTAAAGGGGTCTTCCAGGATGGGTGGGGGGTGGGAAGAATAGGGAGAAGCTGGCACCTAGGATGTCCCTTCCTTTCTCTCAAGGGAGTCTCCCCGGGGCAGTGGGGGGTGGGTGTGTGGGGGGGTACAGCTGAGCTGCTCCTCCCCCTTCCCCACAGTTTAGGTCCTCACCACTCCCCACCTCCAGCCCCCTCCCTCAGGACCCTGACAGCAGCTCAGGGCCCCCTGAGTTTCCCATCACGTCAACGTTCATGTGTGGGGAGGTGACCCTGTACATGTGACCTGGAACCCAGGACCCCCAGCACCCCTCCACACCTTGCCCAACCTGAGCCAGCCTGCCCCTCCGGGAATGAAGTAGGAATCAGGCCACCTCCAGGCTCAGCCAGTGCTGGTCACCCTCCTGCTCACTTGCTCCACAGATATCCCACAGTGTGGCCTCCAAGACCCCACCAGGCCTGCCCAGGCTGACCGACACCCTGCGAGCGAGCACAGAGTCAGGCTGGCCCCACAGGTCACTCATAGCAGCCGGGCTGCAGAGAGGCTGGCTGGATGGGGCAGGTGACAGGGCCCCCAAGGCCCCAGAGCTGGGAATTAAGGGAGTGGAGACAGCACGGACCATGGAGGAGGAAGAGGTACCAGGAGATCTCCCCTCTTTTGCAGATGGGGAAACTGAGGTTCAGGCAGGGAAAAGCAACAAGGACTCAGTCAGAGCCAGGGAAAGAGCTGAGCTTAGGAGAGACAGAACTCCCCTCAGATCCCTGCCCTGCCACTGAATTGCCGTGTGACCTTGTGCAAGCTACTTAACCTCTCTGAGCCTCACACAGCTTGTTGAGAGGATGAAATCAGCCATCAGTATGTCAAGTGCCCAGCACACAGGAGGTGGGTAGATGCTCATAGAAATTCCGGTCCTTGCCCAAGAGGACTGGAACCCTATGCAGGCAAAGCCGTCCCCACATCTTCCCCTGGACTCCCACCCCATTCCTAACACAGGGCAGTGGGAAGAGCACTGTGTGAGGAGTCAGGAGGACGCTTGGGCAGGTGACCTCAAGTCTCCAAGTCTCAGTTTGTCGCCTCAGTTTTTCATGAGAACAGCCCACCTCCCTAACAGGGGCCTGTAAGGCTCAAAAGACATCGCGGAGATGAAAAGCTCTGACAACTGTCTGAGTCTGGACACGTTGGGGCTTGTTGTTACAAGGTGACACCTCGATACTAGGCGGTGGACAGACGGATGGGCAGACGGATGGATGAGCGGAGGGGGTGGACACAGCTGGAGGGGATCGGGAGGTAATGGAGCTCCAGTGAGGGCCCCGGGGACCCCCTCCCCAGAGAAACGCTGCACAACGCCCTCCCTCCATCTAGGCGGCTTCGTTCACTACGTGCCACCTTGACAGCCAGCCCCCAAGGAGCCTTGTCCCTGAAACGCCGGACCCCCCAGCAGGCTGCAGCCCAAGCTCTTCTGGACTGAGAGGCGTCAGGGCCACCCTCCAGGGTCTTCAGGCCCAGACACCGGCCCCCAAGCCCCGTGGGAGCAGGGCCCAGGCCTCTGAAGGGTCCCCACGCCCAGCACAGGCCTGGCGCTGGAAGGCGTTGGTCAGTGTTTTCTGAGTGAACGGGTGGCGGGCAGGCCGGGGCGGGGGCCAACTCACTGGGCACACGGTTGATGGCTTTGAGGGGCCTGAGGACGCGCACGGTGCGGATGGCCGACAGGTTGATGTTCTGAAGGTCCAGGGAGTACTCGACCATCCTGCGGAGAGAGGGGAGGAGAGTGAGGGACGGGGCAGGAGCGACAGGCGGAGCCGTGGCCAGGCAGGGCTGGTCTCTGGCCACCCATGCCCACCCTCGCACGCCCATACCTGCCCGGAAGGCGTCAGTAAGACCAGGGTCCAAATCCCGGCTCTGCCCCGGTCGGCCGTGTGACCTTGGCCTGTCCCCGCCGCCTGCCTCCTCCTCTGTGAACGGGGCTGGTGACACCACCTGCCTGACTGTGCCCAGGATCCCAGTAGATGGGGTCGGGGGCAGGGGGGTGGAGGGAACAGAGACTGCGTGCCCAGGGCTGAGCCAGGTGGCTCCTGCCCCACATCGGGAGCAGCCTCTGAAAGAGGGCACATTAGCCCCACTCCCCAGAGGGGAGAACAGAGGGGTGACAGACCCCGGGCTGACCCCGGCTGGGGACTGGGCGTCACAGTCACAGCCGCACAGCATCCGTGAAGCCCGTGTGCAGACAGAGGCCCGAGTGGAGGCCCCCGTCCTTACGTCTCCCGGAGTCCTCAGGGGCCCACCCAGCCAGGGTCAGACACCCAGACTTACAGAGGAGATGAGGCTGTAGGAGACGTGACCTCGCGTGCCCAGCTCACCCAGAACAGGTAGAGGCTCGAGGCAGGAGCCACACCAGGTCGGGCCCCTCCCTGCTCTGCTGCGCTCCGAGCTCCACCCGCCAGCCTTCATGGGCCACCTCTCCGGGATGGGCCTGTGCGCCATATCTGGCCTACAGGAATAGTCCACCCTCCTCGCTGGCCACGCCCAGCCCGGCCAGCCCCTGCCAGGTACCCGGGCTCCAGCCCCACGGCCCCCGCATGTCCCTGGTCTAGGCCTTTGCTCCCGCTGTCCCTCTGCCTGTCCCACTGCCCCTCCCTCTTCCGCAACCACTGAAACCTGACTGTGCTGTAGGGTTCCCCACAGATGCCCCTGGAGTCCCAAAAGCTTTTCCACACCGGAGTTCAAGAGGAACTGGGCCGGTCCAGGTGCTAGGGACCCAAAAATGACCCAGACCCTGCCCTCCCCTCAGGAGTGCCCACCTGGAGAGGCAAAGGCAACAGTGGAGCCCTCCCCGCGGCCCTGGTTCTCTTCCCCGGGCCTCACCAAACAGGCCCACCCTCCCCTCCAAGCGCAACCAGCCCTGCAGCTCCTTGGAGGCAGTCTGCCTCCTCCAGGAAGTCCTCCCAGACCCCCACAGGAGGCAGATCTCGGGGGTCCACTCTGTGGCTCCCTGTGCTTCCACCAGATCCCACCTACTCGGTCGCTACCCTCCTGCGCCCCCAACAAAGGACAGGTTCAGGGCCTGCAACGCCAGACCCTCCCTCCCTCCCAGCCCCAGCACCGCTGTGGCTCCACCTGTCACCCCTAGTCAGCCAGCGGGAAATGAAGGCTTTCCCGACACGCCCCACAAACCTGTCCGACTGTTGTGCAGTCACTACCCCTCCCACCGCTTGAGGAGTAATTGAGCGAAGACTTCGGTTGCCTGAAATGCCTCTATCCACAACCCTCCCCCGCACCCCCCCTACCCCCACCCCCGCCGCCCGCATCCTGGGGTGCAGGCTCTGATGCCCGTGCTCTCGCGCTCTCTCTCTCCCCCTCACACGCGTGTGTGCACACACAGCTACACACCTGCACACAACCATCTGCCATGCACACACTCACTCCTTGGATACCCTCATACATGCACACTCCTACCACAGCCCAAATTCAGATGAGGGGGTATGACAAAAAAGTGCTAGAGGGAGGGAGGGAGGGGCGCAGGGCAGCGGCCAGGCAGAGAGGGGGAGCTGGGGTGCCCAGGGACCGTGGGCGAGGCAGGGGGGAGCTCGAGGGAGCGGAGCTGCAGGAGGATTCCGCGTGTGGGTGAGCCCAGCTGTCATTGTCATACTTTGTAGAAAGAGCTCTCCAGGCAGCCAGAGAGATGTGTGTGACGGAGGCACTGCGGGGGTGGCACACGGGCACACAAACAGGCGTTCACACTGGCGGGCGCACATGCACACACCCTCTCCCCCCCACCGCAGGCAGCCAGCCCACCCCCATGAACACAGACCCTCTCCCTTGGGCCCTGGCTCCGTCCATCCTGACAGTGGGGCAGCAGCAGGCCCTGGGGAGGGCTGGACCCCCTGAGGCTCCCTTATGCTTTCTTTGCTGGGTGTGCTGGGGGTGGGGGCCCCCGCCCACACCACACTGGACCCACCCACGTACTGTTTCAGGAGCCCCGGGCGCACCTGCCGAGCTCCCGCAGGTGCCAGCCCAGGGTTTGCTGCCATCCTCGTGAAGTCTCACAACAAAAATAACTAGATGCTCCCCAGATGGATGGCAGACAGAGAAGAGCAAATGCTTTGTGGGGGCCCACTGCCTGCCAGGCACTGTGCTCACCCTCCACCTGCCTTCACCGGTTCGAGCCCCGTACATTACTCGGATCAGCCTCACCCTCTCCATGCTCCCCTGGACCAGGGCAGACCCGGCTACAAGCAGCCAGGGCTCGCCCGCCCGCTACGGGAGCCTCAGGACAACCCTGCCTGGTGCCTGCCTCCCCCGACCCACTGCCACCGGGGGCTGCATCCCCACACAAAGCCCACAGCCTGGGGCTCTTGGCAGTTAATTAAGCAAGGGATGCCCACCACTGTCCCTGCCCCAGGATAAGCTGGGGATGAGAATGGGAAACTTTTACAGATGCCCATGTATTCAGGACCCGCAGTGAGAAATCAAGCTTTCCTTTCATGTTTCTCTAAAGCAAAGGGGGATGGGGGGAGTGACTGGCCCCGGGTCCTGAGTGAGATACAAGTTGTGACTGGAGGTCACTGAGGCCCACAATTACCCACAGTTAATAGCTTTAGGGTCCGAATACCTCTCAGACCCCAGCCCTCCCACAGCAGGCTGATCAGACCCTGGTGCCCATCTCCGAGGGGGACTGAGGCAGCAGCACACCGCGGGTCCCTTCCCTTCACCCCTGACCTTTCTCCTCACTCTCATCCTTCCTTCAGGACCGCCTCCTCCAGCAGCCCCTGCTCACGCCCTCCCTGCACCGCAGGCTGACTTCACCCCTCTCCCCTCTGGCTCCTTCCACATTGTTCACACCTCCTGTCCTGTCTCGTTGGGGTTCCCCCACACAGAGCCTGAGCCAAGGACCTGGGAGGAACAGCTTCTTTTCGAGGTGAGCCCAGGAAGCGCAGTGCAGGAGTGGGAAGGGAGAAAAGCCAAGGAGGGGCTGTTGGGAACAGATTACCACTGCGGGTGGGCAACTGGAGCGCCATCCCAGCGGGGACCCCCTCAGAGGCTCTGGAGCGCTCCTCGGAATTGGGGCAGCAAGGCCAGGGGCTGCAGCATTATCCACGGGCTGGGTGGATGCTGGCTGTGCACCTCTCTCCTCCTCAGATCCCCCCTCCCCCGGACCCCTGCACCAGCCCCACACGCACACAGTAGGCCCTCAGGGGATCCACTTACAGAAACTACCTCCTACCCCCTTCCTCCCCTCCCACCCTGGACCACAGCTGCAGGAGGGCCCCCTCCAAAGAAAGGAGGTGAGGGGAGGCGGCTCTGTGGGTGAATAACCACCGGGCTGCCTTCCCTCGGGCCCCAAGTAAGACATCACTTGCGGGAGCGAGAAATTAATTCCTAATTACACAGTTACTTTATCGCGCGGCTCTAGCGCTAAAAGTCTAAGAAAAAAAATCAACAAAAACCCCCACCACCTCCTGCCGCTCCCAAGCACCTAATTAGGTAAGTAATTTTGCTTTAACGCGAGCACGTCTTTCGTCCTGGGATCACCCCAGGAGGAAGGCAGCTGAACCTGGTTCCAGGTGTCCCCCGGAAAGAGGGCCTGGGGTGTGGCCATGCCGGGGTGGGGATGGGGGGGCCATGCCAGGGGTGGGTAGGGAGGGCAGATGTCCGCTCCTCAGGGCACACCCCCACTTATTCCCGATGAGGAGCCTCCCTTCCCCACTCCCAGTTCCCCGGGCTCCCCCGAGAGGCTCAAAGATGCAGGCCTGGTCAACCCGTGGACTCCAGCCCCCAGGCCACCATGACTGGCTCAGGGTGGGCACCAGGTGGGCCATGAGGGGCAGCTGAGCCCATGAGCTGGGACTGCAGGGAAGAGGTGCTCTCCCGGCTAAGCCACCGCCTGGAAGGCTGGAGGCGCTAAGGGCCATCTTGCCTCCGTGGTGGTCTGAGAATTTTGCCAACACAAAGGAAGGCTGAGGCCAGAGCTGGGGAGAGGCAGGATCCTGACCATATGGTTCGAGCGCTCCCTCCAGCTGCACCCAAATCCCAGATCTGCCCTCTGTTCTTCAAGGTTACAGGAGCCAATGCATTCCATTTGGGGCTTGGGCCCAGTCTACACTGCACTACTGTCCCTGGCAACCCAGAGTCCTGGCTGACACAGAAGGGTTTCCTGAGCACCCACTGGGTGCCAAGCACTGTACGCACCTTCCCACGGTGGTATTATGGTGCCCACTGCAGATGAGGAAGTTGAGGCTCAGGAAGAGCCCAGGTCACCCAGCCAGGTAGTGGGGGACCCAGGAGCTCTGCATAACCCGCCCCGCCCCCCACCTCAGTCATCAGGCCAGGCTCCTTCTGGCTCACGAGCACCCCTCTCAGCTGGCCAGATTCCCAGCAAGCACAACACACACGGCAGCACATGGAACACGACTAGCATCCCTGGAGGCAGTGTTGCCAAGTGGTTAGAGCACAGAGCCTGGGTTCCAGCCCCAGCTCTGTGGCTACTGCACCGTGTGACCTCGGGCGACTCACAGAACCGGCCTCATGGGGGTGTGGGGAGGATGAAATGTGCTCATTCGTGGCTTCAGTGCTTAGAACAGGGCCTGACACAAGTAAGAGCCAAGGAAGTGTCAGCTATTATTTTATCACAGCCTCATCCACTGCCTCAGTTCACATTTGCCCACAAATCACAGGAGGCCAGCTGAAACCCCTCCCTGGATTCCCACCTCCTGCCGGAGAAAGCCCAGGCAGTAAGGCCCTGCGGAAGCT